AGAGAGGCAATTTTAGAACTATATCCTGGCCCTACAGTACCCCACTTAATTAAAGAGGAATGTTTTCCCTTACTGTGGGAATAACAGAGGAAGGAGGAATGTTTTGTAGGAAATGGCACCTTCAGACAAACTAACCTGAGTCTATATTAAAAAGGCAACTGATGAATTTATGACCTACATGTGCCCCCATAGATCTTCTTGTCTCTCAGCTTATGAATTCTACTTCTTTTGACTTAGCCAATTATGTTTGCTCAGTAGTTAATTCTTTGAACCTGACAGTGACCTTGAGGCATCACTGTGGAATTAAACCTGGGGTGATGTGACTGGGTGCTTTCCTCTCTGGAGTAACCCAGGGGAGGTAGAATAAGCAGGAGCACTGGTGATGGCCAGCCCTACCAGGCAGGACACTGCCACACCAAAACAAGGCGGGGCAAAGCATATAATTAACCTTTAAAAGACGGCATTTAAATTCAGCTCTGCAGGCATTTACTTTTTTGCCTCTATCTTATCTATTTTTTGAGTTATTTATGAAAAGTAAAAACATTTATAAAGAAAATGTATTGTTTATTATTAAAGTTATCTTTTAATATATGTTACTGATGTTAAAAAATTACATTTACAATTTAAATTACATTTTGCCGGGAACTAAAGTTCCCTTTCGTCCGATAAAGGCTAATCAATATGAAAGTTGTTCAAAAAAGTCTATGGATTGTACATCTAGACTTGAAAAAAGCAGTGATGCACTTTAAAGGTACGGAGACCTTCCTTATAGTTTCAGACCAAATTTTGCTGGTTCTATAAATTCTTTTGCTTTATTTCTAAGTGAAATTGGGGCCCTCATGGGAGGAGCCTGAATCCCATCCAGATGCGTGGTATGGGAGACATGGGCGCCTTGCTGGGGAGACTGCTCTCCCAGGAGACCCTGACACGGGCAACACTGTAGCCAGGGGAGTGGGCATTAACTGCTATGGTGGAGTTCAGGGCCAGACTGTGTTGGAAGTTATTTCCACCTTCTACTGCTTCACAGGGTCTTCTCTTTGCATTTTTCTAAAATGGTGGCATTGTGTTCATCAGGACCTGTAAGGCTGTGGCTCCGAGAGGCATCTTGTTCTACTCTTAGGGTTCCTGTCTCTTCTTCAAAACCCCCCTTCCCAGTGTCTACTTGTAGTTGTGTGCTTCCCAATTTGGGAGAGCTGGACCAGGCCAGATGAGCCTGTGGGATGTAGTGGTTCACAGAGAACACAAGACCATTCACTATTCCTTGAGTTTAAGAGGCAAATCAGAAAATGTCATCTTCTGCCCTAGTTTGGCTCTGGTTAAGAGCATCAGCCCGCAGACAGGAGGTCCTGGGTTCGATTCCAGCCAAGGGCACGTACCTCAGTTGCAGGCTCCATCCCCAGCCGGGGCGCGTGCAGGAGGCAACCACTCAGTGTGACTCACAATGATGTTTCTCTCTCCCTCCCCCTTCTCCCCCTCCCCCTCTCTGAAAAGCAATGGAAAAAATATCCTCTGGTGAGGATTAAAAGAAAGAAAGAAAATGCCCTTTTCTAAAATGCAAACTGACAAAGAGGGGCAAACTATCTGAGAAAAGTTACATAGTAACTGTTGCTGATGAAAAGAGGTTATTTTCTAACTCAGCCAGTGCCTCTTAGACTTCAGTTCACTACAAGATGACTTGGATTCTTAGGAGTCTGTTATTGGTAATGATGACCTGAAGATTCTGGTTATCAGAGAGGGATGTGATGGTGGAGCAGGACATTTCGCTCCTTGGGCACCACGGGGGAGGCCCTGGGGCTCAAGCAAGAGCAGGTCAGGCACCCACTCCCACCACCATAGTGTAACAGGTGCATATTTGAGTTTGTTCACTCTGTCTTTTGTGAGTTTGGCTAGTTTGAGTCAGTCCCCCAGGGCCTCATCACCCCTGGGTAAACTGATAGAATCTGTTTCCTGAACATTCAGGCCTGGACAGAACAGCTGTGATGGTGCTGTGCGTGCTGTGCTCTGTACCAAGGCTTGTTTCTTTCTCTCCTTTCCCTTTCTTGGCCTCTCCTCTTCTTACCTTTTTTCCTTCCTCATCCATCTCTTGCTATTACAGGAGTGACCTGTCATAGAATCTTTCTGCCCTTGCAGATACATTCCTATCCCGTCTCCTTTGTTCCTTTTGAAGATCGTGGCTGTGTTACAAAGTAGGCTGTTTGAGGTGTCCCCTCCCCTGCTCTTCCCCTCATATTCTTCCATTCCCTAACTTTCTGCCAGAGACTCACACAAGCATCATCACCGCAAGGTTCATATCATCAGCAGCCAGTGAAACTGTGCTTCTTCCTCGGGTGAGTTGAATTTGCAGATGTTGACATATGATCTCATTTACCTTGTGGCTATGGCCTTTCCTTTACCTCCCACAAGGGATCAGCCCTGTCCAGAACCACTCGCTCCCCACTGTGGTACTTGATGATGTCCTGCCTCCACGCTTTCCTTCTGATTTCACTTATTCTCTCAGATCAAGCGTGTACCTCATTTTGTAGCGGTATAGCCCCACAGGGCAAGTGATAACTGTGTTTGGTAACAACAGATCTTTTGTTTAGGGTTTTGACCCAAAGAAAGGAGGCCACCCCATTTATCAGAGCACAGGGCAGTATCGAGTCTGCTCAGTGCTACCTGGCAAAAAAATAAAGAACCTTCCCAGGAGAAGCCATAGGAAATCAAACTATTTTAGTACCTCGGCTCTGATGTGCTTATGCCGTAACACTTGCCTTGTGCCCTATGACCCTCCGAGCAGAGTTTAAGTCTGATGAGCTTATGGGTTTCTTTCACTAGCCATGGAGGTTGGGCTCAATCTTGGAGGAGCCTTGACCTTGGGCCAGGGCTCTCTGCATCCTTGTAAAAAGAGAAGATGCCCTTTTGTGATAAGATTCCTTGTTGGGACCCACATCTAGATGCTTCCTCACAAAATATTGAGGACTATTTAATTCCATTGGACTGTTGCATCTCTGGGAGACGGATATTCTCCATGTAGTGTGCCCTGTAGGAAAGTTTCACCTCGGTCCAGCTCTTCAGAGAACCAGACTGAGAGCAGATTGATTGCAAGTCCTTGTCCAAGTAGGGAATGGACTGACTCATGATACCTGGATAGACTCCAGAGTGAGATGCAGTGCCCTCTCCAACTGCTGGCAGAGCACTCCCTCTCCTCCTTAGACGGCTCTGAGCTCACTGGTGTCCAGTGGCCATCTGGAGATGGCCAGGATCAGCTTTCCACCGAAGTTGTTGGGTTTATATCCCACTCTCTAATCTGATGGAAGAATTCCTCCTCAGCTCTGATAAGCCATCCTGCCTGATGGGATGGAGTTTGATGGAAGTGTTAGTTACTGGAGTGCCAGGGGCCAGTGTGGAATTCAGGGGAGAGGAGGGAGAGGATCAGTGGCTTGACCAGCATTTTCAGGGGGTTGAGCAATTGTGAGTATGCAGCAGCATGGGTAGGGCCTCCAGAGGCTTTAGTTCTAGGGCTGCCTCTATGATGTACTCATCTGTGACCTTAGGTAAGTTCCTTAACCTCCCTGAGCTACATTACCTGCATCTGACAAAGATAAAAGCTACTTTGTCTATCAAACAGGGTTGATGTGAGCAGAAAATGTGTTTAGGAAAGTGTATGATAGCCATAAAGCATTATATTGACATATACTGGCATTATTTTTAAAGCCCGTAGTTTTATATTACATGCCAAGTATGCTAGTCATGTCCTAGTTTGGGGATAGAGACACATTTACTCAGACAAGACCTGCCCTTATGCCCTCTTGCAGGGCTTTTCTCCACTCAGGCTCCATTTCCTGTGCCTGGGCAGATTCCCTATCTTCCCTAAGGCCCTGGAGAAAGAAAGCAATTTGCTCTCCTGAGAGGAAACCTAGATGAGACCCCTCAAATTCAGCCAATGTATATAAATTTTACCACAATTTTTAAAAATTAGCTAATGCATTAGGCCCATTTGCCTATATATCTTATTTGGCCCTCACAGTGATATGAAAGCAAGAGTTCATGTAATAAAGTTTAAAAACTTAGAGCTTTCCCATAAAAACCTTGAGTTAGTTTTCTCCTAAAATAGCAGGACAAATGCTCTTTGGTGCCTTTGTAGCCCCTTCACTTCCCCACTGTGCTCCCTGAATGTGGAGTTTGGTTACCCGCCTGGCCTGTGGAGGCATTTGGTGTTGATCCTATTTGAGGGTATCTAAATCCCACAGGTGGTAAACTTTGCATTTATGGTGGAGGAACTTGAATAGGCACTATCATTTTTAGATTGGAGCAAAATGATACCTTGTGGAACTTCAAAACCATAAGTTATTTGTGGAAAGCCTTGAAAAGCCCCTAAAAGGTAATGGACATTAGACTAATGTGAGACAAACTATTTACTCAGGCAGTGATACTGGTATTAATAAAAATAAAATTTTAAAAAACACACAGAATTACAGTTCTGACAAACTATGCTATGGGCATAGATTTTCTTTGAGTGTCTACTCAATTCACAGAAAATATCCAGGTCATTCCCTGACTCTGGGTGCCCTTTTCCATCCTGTCAGTAAACAGTCATTTGGGTGCCAACTTATGTTACAAGTTTGAGAGGTTTTCATTCCAGAGGTTTCCTAGCCAGAGAGTAATGGTGCCCTCAGAATACAGTTTGTTGTGCTTGCCTAAATATATTTTGGGTCTTTCATAAAACAAAATATTTTAAACATAACTCAGCACCAATCAGAATGAGTATCATTGTCAGACTGGGTTTAATTTTGAGTTCATGTTCATAAGAGACAAAAATACGGACATTGGAAAGATGAAACTAAAAGAGAAGCATAAGTACCAGGGAGTACTAGTCAAAGAACACTGGCACAGCTTTATTAATACTAAACAGTAGATTTTTTTAAATTGATTTTTCTTTAGAGAGAGAGGGAAACATCGATTTGCTGTTCCAGTTGTTTATGCATCATTGGTTGATTCTTGTATGTTCCCTGACCAGGGATTGAACCTGCCACCTTGGTGTATCGAGTCAGTGCTCTAACCAACTGAGCCACCCAGCCAGGGCCTAAACAATAGAGTTTAAGGTAAAAAAGATCACTTCAGAATGATAAGCTGTTTAATTTACTAGAAAGAATAATTGATTCTTCCCATAGTCAGCAGTTCAAACAGATTAGTAAGAATTTAGAAGCTTTGAACATAGTTAACCAGTTTGAACTGCACCTATACCTGCAGAATACAGTCATTCTCAGGACATTTAGAGCATTTGTGAAAATTGGCTACTCACTGGGACCTACAGTGACTCAGCAAATTTCAAAGACTTTGTACTAAGGCAATGATTCTTAATATTTTGCAAGTAATAGACTCCTTTGAAAATCCCATGTATCTTTTAAGTCAGGGTTTCTCAACCTCAACACTACTGACATTTGGGATCAGATCATTCTTGGCTGTGGGGACTGTTCTCTGTATTATAGAATTTTAACAGCATCCCTGGTCTCTACCCACTAGATGCCAGTAGTAACTCCCTTTCAGTAGTGACAACCAAAAATGTCTCCAGACATTGTCAGATGTCCCCTGGTAGGCATAATCAACCCTGGTGGAGAACCACTATTACAGATCTTCTCTCCAGAGAAATACATAATTTTGCATATAGTTTCTCCCCTTTCCAGTATCTAGATGGTCTTGCCCTCACTGAGGACAGTTGAGTTGGGACGTTTTGTAAGAAAAAGCAGTGGGAGAGCCTGGATGTAGGGTTTGTGCTCTTCCCACAGCTTCTCCTTGTCTAGTGTATGGACTTGTGTATGAGTGTGTGGAAGCTTCATGGAGTTCCTGGTGCTGAGGGCCTAAGGACTGAGACTGCCATTCAGTTCTAAACTTTAGGCTTCTCTTTTGTTCTAAGCCTTTTGCTAGGTGCTAATTACAGAGAGTTCAAATCCAATGTGATATATGTTATCATGAAGGAAAGAAAAAGGGACAACTTACCTCTGAGGAGCAGGCGATTAACTATATGGGATCAGAGACTTCGCAGAGGAGAGGTGGATAGCCAAGCTGGGTTTTGTAGGATAAATGGGAGTTTGCAAGGGAGAGGACATTGCAGGCAGGTGGACCAGCACCCTAAGTACTGGGGGTAGTAAGAGCTCACTTTTGCTGTGGTATAAAACAGAACAAAAGATGAAGGTAAGGGTGAGGTGTACTTAGGAGCTTGGATGTGATAGGACAAATAATTGAAGCATTTTAAGTGGGGAAGTGACACAATCAGATTTGTGTTTAGAAAGTTGGTTGAGTGGCTCTGTGAAGGACAGCTGGGAGGTCAGGAAACTATTTGGATGCCAATGAAAGAACCCAGCTGAATGATGAGGTCAGAACTATCACCGCGGCTTTGGGGATGGAGGGAGATAAACCCACAGGGAGTTAGGTCCCCAAGCCCCAGAGTTTAGTAAAGGGAGGTCCACATCCATTACCTCAAAGGACACAGTCATGTCCCTGGCCAGAGAGGACACTGCTCTTAGCTCTGAAAATAAAGACGTAAGTTTTTATTTGAGAGAGATTTTTTTCCACTTTTTATATACATTTTTTTCCTCTAGGAAATAGACAGACGGTTGGAAAAAAAACTGAAGATCACACAAAAGGAGAGGTAAGGCTGCTGTCTGGTCTGAGGGCTCATGCTCTCTGCTGTTTGAGAGCTGGGCAGTCAGTGGTGTTCTCCAGCTGGCTGTTAGGGTTAGCAGGTCAGGTTCCTGGGCAGTGAATCCTCCTCTCAAGGACACAGTGGCTTGAAGTTTGGGGAGTGAGACTGGAGTGTTGCACTTTGCCTCCTACTTCAGTGGGCACCCTGTGTGAGGTGATTTGATGAAAGTGGGGTGGTGACAAGTCGGAAGATTTGGGTTTTAGGCCTGGCTCTGCTCCCGGTTGCTCTGATGTTTGGGGGAAGTTGTTTCCCCCATCTGGACATCAGTTTCTCTGTAACATAAGGAGGTTGGACAGATGATTTCTCTGGACCTTCTGTGACTTGGTGGCTTAGGGCATTATGGGGGTATGCTGGAAGAAAAGATTCTCGGAAATTCTTAGACCTTGAAGGATAGTGTCATTCCCCACCTACAGAGCAGAGGAAGTGGGTTTCCAAAGCAGGTGAAAGTTGACTTCAGTAGTCTGTCTTTGGGCTTAGGTAACCTGTCAGCTTCCCACAGGGACAAGTAACAGGAAGGAGGCGGAGAGGGCCTCACTGGACTTGCCTAATGGGCTACACAGACATTCCCCAGGGAACTGTGGGGTGTCCTGCCTGCCCAATAGCTTTCCTGGCTCCCTTCCTCTTTGATCAGATTGCTAGCTCCTTGTCTGTCTGCTCATCTCAGACTACACTAACACCTGGTTACAGTCCCCTGACAGCAGCAGAGTTCCTCCAGTGCCTACCCCTCCTGACAACCAAGGGTCTGAAAACAGCCCCCTGTGGGCTGTTTGGTTCTGAAGAGAAGCTAGTTGACCACTCTGGGGAGGGTCTTTGTGGCTGTTAAAGGGTGGTCATTCCTGCTTAGATCCCTTTTCTCCTGTGGCTTTTGTTTCTTTTCCTTCCTATGTTGTTTTCCACCTTGTGGACACATCGCCTGATGTGCACATCCACCAGCCTTGGACAATGCTTCTCCTTGAGCACTGCCAAGCACTGTTTCTAGGATCGTCCTTCACCCCAATCCCGCCGCATCCAGCATACCAAAGAGCCCTGGTGAGGGAGGTGTGTCTGCTCAGAAGCTCTTCTGAAGAGGTGATTCAGTTGTTTGGTGTAGCTTGTCTCTGGGAGGCACAAGTCACTCACCAGAAGGCTGAGGCAGTTTGGTAAATCCTGTCTTGGTGCCAGGCAGGGATGGTGGAGCAGGCTCCTTGGTAGAGTTTGGTTTGAGCACACGTGGTGGAAAACCTTGCTGGGAGTAAACACTTTGCTGACCCCCAAGCTAAGGGGCTCCCACCATACCAGCCTGTTAACACTCTGATCTATGTAGGGAAGTTGGGATTTTAACAGAAGTCATTGGATTCTGGACATGAAATATTTTGCCACAGGGGCCAAGTAGTGGTTGATGTAATTGTGATGAATGTGGGAACAGAAAATGAGATGGTGTTCCAGCCCCCTTTGCCTGGGGTTAGGTCTGAGGAGCAGGCCTGTGGACTGGGTGAGCTTATGGCAAGGTTGCTCTTTTGAGAAACCCTTCTTGAGGAGTGAGCATTCTGATGTCTGGTCAGAGACCAGAGAGTAATGAATAGAAATAGGAGGTGTAGGAGGAGGAAAGTTGTCAGGAATGGGTGTGGGACAGGGATGGGGCCTCTTTAATCAAGGGTAGGAGTAGTGAAGCTGTGTTTGCTCTTTGTCAGCAGGAAATCCAAATCTCCTCCCAAAGTGCCCATTGTGATTCAGGACGATAGCCTTCCCACCGGCCCCCCCCCACAGATCCGCATCCTCAAGAGGCCCACCAGCAACGGTGTGGTCAGCAGCCCCAACTCCACCAGCAGGCCAGCCCTTCCTGTCAAGTCCCTAGCACAGCGGGAGGCAGAGTACGCAGAAGCCCGGAAGCGGATCCTGGGCAGCGCCAGCCCCGAGGAGGAACAAGAGAAACCCATCCTCGACAGGTGAGTGTAGCTGGCAGGCTGACTGTGGACCACCCCACCCGGCCACCTGGAGGAGGAGGAGGAGGGGGGATACAAGTAGAATAGTGAAGCAGGCAGAATCTGGGCTGGAACAATCGCAGCTCCAACTGTCAACCTGGCCTACTGGGCCAGTTCATTGTGCTGCACTGGCTACCACACTGCTCTACAAGATTTGAGGTCATGGTTCTCTGGCAGACACCAGGGGCAGTGTAGCATGGAGGTTAAAAGCATGGACTTGGAGTCAAAAATCTGCTAGATAGAGTTGGAGCCCGCCTCTGCCACTTACTTCTTAATTTAGAGCTGCTTAACCTCTCTGTGTCTTCTTCATAGACTAATCTGAAAAATGGAACAATGATAGTACCTGTCTCATCAAGTAGTTGTGCAATTAAATGAGTATAGGGTTCTGGGAATCCCGCCTGGCACAGAGTGCCCAGTTCAGTGCATAATGTTATCTTCTGGTTCTCATAATAGCCCACTGATGTTTTTGAGAATTTTCTAAATTCTTTTTTATTCCTGGTATTTTTTTCTCTGCAGTCCTAGAAATTGTATTTAAGATTGTCACCTCTTGATAAAGCAGTATTTGTTTAAATAACCTCTTTCTGTGAGAGACCTCCGTGGGCTTGATATTCTGGCACTTGAACTAATTTGTGTACCTTCTTTCTATCCCTTTATTATTTTGTGAGGCTTCCATTATCTCTTCTGTAACCGTTCACTTGGCAGAGAAGAAAAAGTCCATTTCCATTAGTCTTCCATAGTAATATGGGTCAACCATTAACCACATGATTTGGAGAGAAGCAGGAGGGAAGCAATGGTGGGTGCTGGGTCACTCTACTGAGCTCTGGGTTAGGAGTTTTTACCTTGGCCCAACACTCTGGGAATTCTGTGCTCATGGTTCTGCAGAGGATGTGCTGTCCATGGTCACTGCCTCTGGACAGCTTGGGCTCTTGAGCACTCTGCCTTCCTCCAGATGAATGATGGTGGGCCTGACTTGGGGGAACAGTGCTGCAGGTACTAGAGGTGGACATGGGCCACCCAACCCATATAGGAGCTTTCCAATCTGGAGGTGCTCTGAGTTTGCTTGCCAAAGAAGCAGACTCGGGGAGCCAGAGTTGGCTGATAGCCACTGTGACTTCTGCCCCACCTGCAGGGGTGGTTGGTTTTAAGATTTGGGAACCTCTTTTAAATCCTTTTTCAGGCCTCCCTCTGATCTTCTTCCCTTCAGGCCAACCAGGATCTCCCAACCTGAAGACAGCAGGCAGCCCAATAATGTGATCAGACAGCCTTTAGGTCCTGATGGGTCACAAGGCTTCAAACAGCGCAGATAAATGCGGGCAAGAAAGAATGCCACCGCTGCCACCGTCACCACCTCCTGGGTCGTCCGCCACGGGTCGCACTGCCGTGGCAGACAGCTGGACTTGAGCAGAGGGAAGGACCTGATTTACTTGCACTGTGATCCCCTTTGCTCTGCCCACTGTGACCTTGAACCCCATGCACTGTGACCTCCCCCTCCCCCCTTCCCACTGTGATTGGCATGTCTGCAAGGGCTGTCCCAAGTCAATGGAAAGGGAAAGGGTGGGGCTTAGGGGACTTAAGAGTAGAGAGTCAGACAGTGCCACTTGGGGTAAAGCCAGTGCCAGCAATAACAGTTTATCATGCTCATTAATTTCAAAACAAATGAGAACTCCCATCAACCCACCCCCAAGTGCATGTCTTCATCACTTAAAAGCAAGTTCCATTTGAAAAATATCCTTTCTTTTTTTTTTCCTTCCTATTTTTGTTTGTTTATACAAATATCTGATTTGCAAGAAAAAGTGCATGGGAGGGGTTTTAGCATTTTAATGAATTTTTAATTAAGAAAGGGTAGTTTGGTAGTCTACTTAAAAATGTTTCTGGGAAATTCACTAGAAACATTAACCAATAGGTTTTTGGTGAGCTTAGCTTCTGTATTCCTACTGCCGCCCAGAAAAGGGGCAGGGCTCTGTAGCCCCCAGGACAGATGAGCACCCCATGCCTATACCTCCCTCCCCCCCCAGCTAAGTCCCAGGGCATCATGGCCCTACCTGGAGACTGGGCTAGTTCTATAGGCTCAGAGAGCCTGGGGAGGGTGCCAACCCCACCTCTAGTATTTTGGGAGATAGGGAAAGTGAACAGACTTTCCCTTCCCATTCCCCTCAGGGTGGTTCCCTACCAGCCAGGCTTGCTACTTCTAGAAGAGAGCAGGGAGTGAGACTGCACTCCTGAGCTTAGAAGTAAATGATGCGACGCTTGCTCAGTATTTCGCTGTCAGCACAAGGAAAGCCAGGAGAGAGTCCGGCTCCAGGGCTGAGCCTCCTACCTAGTGTGGTCAGAAGGTGTCTGTGGAGTGCCATCTCTCTTGATGGCATCAGCTCGGTAACTATAGCTGGTATGTTTCCTTTGTAAAATCACTACATTGGGAGCAGACCATTCTGAATACATATGGGAAAAGACAAGCTGTGCATTGCAAAGATTGGTGATGACAGACTGGTTCCCCATAGACCTAGGCTACCCTCCACCCTTTTTCCAGAGCAAGGACCTGGAATGAAGGCAGTTTCCCCTCTGTCCCTGGAGCCTAGAGATTTGCTTTGGCTCCTTGAGGTGGAAGAGACTAAGAGGGCAGCTGCCTACAGCAGCTCTGTGTGTGTACAGTCTGATTCCTCTCAGGCTTTCTCTGGTCTCTTCTGTTGCACTGCGCCTTACCCCTCAACCAGCCAGCAGACAGCCTCCCCACTCAGTGGATGAGTTTTGGAGTGGCGTGTGTGACGTTATTGTGATTTGGGCAGCTTGTGGTAGCCAAGGTGGCAAGCTAGGTTTTGGAGGCTCACTCCACCTTTGGTTCAGCTGGCTCTCGGCCTTGCCCTGTGGGAATGTAGGCCAGGCTCAGCAAGCTATGTCCCACTACATCTTCCCCTTAGAGGGAAGGGCCAGCTGCCAGTTGAATCAGCAACTAGTCCATAGCACAGTCTCTGGTGACTGTGTGAAGCCAGGAAATTGTCTATGAGCGGAGCTGGAATAGAGCTTCAGTCCATAAGAACCTACAGGGTGTTGAGTTGTGCCCATAGACTATTCTCATGGGGAATTACCTCCAGGAATGGGCAAGGGAGAAGGTTGGCTGCTGTCTTCATAGTTCCACTGCCCTGACCAAGTTTCCTCATTCTAAGTGTATAGTGTCCATCCCTCATGTAATAGTGGTTCCTGGCCCAAAGTAAGACTGTCCTTTCGGTTGGAGAAGGGTACAGAGGTAGGCCAGGTGGAAAGGCCAGAAGTGCTGATTGCCCAGCCACTGGGATAACCAGTTCTTGCCCCCCTCCCCTAATGGAGCCAGAGGGAAGACTGGCTGATGGGTGTCTATGGATTGAGGATATAGTAGGGACTGGTGCTCCCACCTCCCTCTGGCCAAAGATGGGGCTTTGCCCGCTGTGTGCCTGTCACCACCCACTAGCAGTCATATCCTTGGCTTCCCAGATGGAGAGGTAGCAAATTTTTAAAAAAAGAAAGGAAAACAGGAAACTATTGTGTTGGGGGAGGTGGGAGGGGAGAGATGGGAGAACGGTTTGGATTTTGTGTGTGTGTGTTTGGTTTTTGTTTTTGTTTTTGTAGTTGTCTGTAACTTTCCTTAAGTGCTTTTTTTTTTTTAACTTTTTTAAGTAAGCTGCAGGCTTTGGCTTAGAAAACCCCAGGGGGTAGGGGGCAGAAACCTGAGGCTGCTGCCCTTTTATCTGCCTTCATGGTACTGTCCTCTTCCCCCAGCTCCTCCTTGACCCCATGAGCCAGGCCTCAGACCTTCCAGCTAACTGCTTCCCATGAGCCACTACTCTGTTGTCAGCCTATAACCAAAGGAGCTGGGGGTCTGGGCCTGGTGACCAACCCTTCTCAGCCCACTCAATCAGGGTGCTCCCCACCTGCAGGCAGGAGGCAACACCCTATCTGCTACCATCAGCCCCTTCTAGAGCCCACTGCCCCGCCCTGCCCTGTCCAGCCCAGCCATACCCTGCTCTGCCCCATCTGGGGATGCTCTGCTCAGGGATGGGCCGGTAGGGCTTCCCCAGCCTCCCTGCTAAGCAGAGACTCTGGAAACCTCTGGGGTCCTATTTTCTAGCCATGTAATTCCAAGGGTGCACATGGGCCCCTTGGGTGTCTGAACAGAAGGGCATGGGAGGGAGGGCTGCACCCCTGCAGTCCTGCTCTGCTGGTCTAGTGGGCAGCTGCCCACCCCACCCCGCACTGCGGGCCCCTGAGTCGGCAGACTAAGCATTTTATAAATTGTATTTTAAATACATGTTTTAAACTTGTCAGAGCCTTGTCCTCATTTCAGTCCCTGGCCTCGTAACTTCTTGCTATGGCTGTTTATTTAACCACTGGGAGCTACCTCTGCTCAGTCCTAGGGAGGGTCTCTCTCTGTTAGAGAATTCGGCCTGAGGTGGTGTGTGTGTTGGGGGGCAAGGACCCACACCCTTAGGCTCCAAGGGAAGGGGACCCATAGGTCCTGGGGCTCTACTGGTGAGAGCATGGGTGGGGTACTTCCTGCTTTTCCATGGGGTTTGCCCCTTTCAGGGGTCAGGGTCTTTCCCGGGTACTTCCCTGTGTTCACCACTCCCTTCAGGCAGGTAGAAAATTCCTGCCCTTGTGGGGCTCCTGGTCCAAAAGGAAAAGCTCATTTGAAGAGAATACTAGCTCTGTCCAGAGTGCACAGAAGATCAAGAACTTTGCACACAGGGCCACCTCTGGCCAGAGCCCCAACCCTGGGCAGAGTTTTGAGGTACGTCTTGCTTCGGGGGTTCCCAAGCCTAAGGGAGGCTGGGGCCCTGTGCCCTGAGAGCCCAGTGGAGGGATGAAAACTGGGTTGGGGGGTGGTCTTCCCTCCACCTGGATCTCAAGGAAGCAGATGAATACTCGGAGGGCAGGGGCCCCAGCACCAGGCACAAAGGCTGAGGTTCTTGGTGTTTATTGGCTTACCAGGCCACAAAAGCAAAATCCAGCAGCAGTCTCTGCCTGATGACCTGTCTGTCTGCAGGTCTTGAACAGCTGTCCAGAATTAGGACTCTGCAGGGTCAGTGGGTCCGAGCCGGCACAGAGTTGAGCCACTTTCGGCTGTCAGACCCATGTTCCCTAGAGGGAGAGGTGGAAGAGAAGGGTGGGAGGAGCTGAGCCATCCCCATGTGCCCAAGGGGAGAGGAGGCCTCCCCTGGGAAGTGATGAAAACAGCAGTCAGGCTCAGGGGCCTGATTCCAAGTCCAGTGTTCTTTTATCCCCAGATTGCTGGAAGGGGAATGCTGAAAGGGAAGCTTCCCCCTAGCCAGATGCTAAGTCTGTTCCCTGCTACTAATGTGGAACCAGACTTGGGCAAAGGATTTGAGTGTTAAACCCCCTGATGAGAAAGGCAGGTAGTGCCATCCTAAGAGAAAGATGGTATGTATCACTGAGCCCTGGGCACAGGGAGGCATAAGGAAGTGCCCTGACTGACGAACAATGTACTTGGTGCACAGCCTTCAACAAAGGTTTCCCCCTTTCTTTTTCCTCCCTGGAGCGAGTTTCCCAGGCTTCGTTGCTTAAAGAAGGATGGATTTGCAGGTTAGGCCAAGGGCCTAGTGTGGAAGGAGGTGGATGGGCCTGGGCTGGGACCCCTGCCTTTTGGGCACCCACCTGCTTCCTTGAGATCCTGACTGGAAGAACAGGCTGTGGAAGTCAGGGCTCGGGCTGGTGGGGGTGCACTGGTCCAGCACATACTGGCTGCCCTGCTTCCGGCTGATCGTCTTCTTGTCCAGTCTTGGGCAGAGTGGGATGCAGGGGACCTGGGCATAGGGGCTCTGCAGGTTGGCAGCTGGCGAGGGAGGAGGCAGGAGAGGGGAATGTTTGGTCATATGCGCAGCCTTAGGAGGCAGGCAGACCCAGGTGAAATCCTGGCTTTGCCACATAATGAGCTGGGCGGGTTTGGGCAAATTACTTCTCCGAGCCTCTATATGAGCTGGAGATGATAGTGGTGCCCACCTCACAGTGGATGATGAGGCTTGAAGGGATAGTATGTGCAAAGTGCTCAGCTAAGAGCACTGCGTAAAGGCTAACAACAACTTAAAAGAGCAGGTGTCTTTTGTGATGGGTCCTGGCAAAGTCTGGCAGGCACAGTAGACTCTGGAAAGTTCCTAGCCCATCAGTTGGCACACAGTAGGAGTCTAATAAATGGTACCTACTATTTTATGGGGAAGCTGTCTTGCCCAGTGAAAAGAGCACAGGTTTTGGAGTCAGACCTGGGTATAAACTCCCCTTTCTGACATGCTGGCTGTGGACCCTTGGGCAAGTTCCTTAAACTTACCCAGTTTCAGGTATCTGTAAAACGGGGTAAATGTGTGATTATGGGGACTAAATTCTAGCGCATCTGCAAAGAACCTGGCACAGTGAGTGACTCCAGTGGGTGCTCAATCAGTGATGAGCTGGGAATGCTGATCACCCTCCATTCTCAGCCCTGGCTCTTGGGACCAACCTGTGGTCAGAGCTAAGGCACTGGGAAGAGTCCATGCAAAAGGCCTTTGTCAAAGGTTTGGAGATGAGGTAGTAATTATCAGCCCATTGACTGACGCATACAGTTAACCCTAAAGGGGGAAACCATGTCTCTCAGCTTGGTTCTGGCTTTGTAGGGGCCCAGGGAAAGAAGCCAGATGCGGGAGAGCAGAGCCCCCACCATGCCCAGGGCCCTCACCATAGTTCTGCTGCTTCAGCCGGCTCAGGATCCTAAGGACCCTTCGTTCTGGGACTTCCAAGGTGTCTGCCTGCTGCAGGTTGTAGGGAAGCTTCTTCCGGGACTGCAGCCGGCCTATGGCCGATTCCATCTCGTGGGCCTTACAGGTACCTTCCTTCAGCTTCTTCTGGTAATAGCTGGGGAGGCAGTGCCCACCCGGCTCAGCCTGGCCATGTTTAATTTACCCTCCTCTTCCCTCACTTTTCCTGGGGGCTCGTTCTGTTTGGCCAGCTCTGGAGCAGGGACACAGGCCCAAGGGTTGGAAGACCTGGGTTTTAGTCCCAGCCCTGCCATTAACTTCCTATGACCATGGGCAAGTCATTGCTCTGCTTTGAACCTCAGTCACAGTCACCCCTGTGTAAAATGGGGGAAATGGTTATCTCATCCCTGTCACTGCAAGTCACTTGACTTTTGTGAGCTTCAGGTGTCCCCTGGGATCCAAAAGTCCACGTTACAGGGTTAAATAACAATGCCCATCAAGCACTCAGCAAAGTGTGTGGCCCATGGGAAGAGCTTGGTAAATGTTACTTTTGATTTCCATCACTGATATTTTTACTTAGATGTGCAAGTTTTGTAAGTCAGCTGTGCAATTAACTCCTGCTTGTCTTCCAGAGTTCAGCTTAAGGGCTATCTCCTCCAGAAAGTTCTCTCTCCCCCTGCAGACTAGCTGGGCTCCTACTGCAGGCCCCGATAACCTGTACTTACTCCATCGTAACCCACAGCCCACTTTAACGCATTACTACTTGCCTTTTCTCCACTAGACTGCTGCATCATTCATTCATTCAACAAATATTCACGGATTATTTACTATGTACTGACCACTCATCTAAGTACTTGGGAAAGAATGGTGCAGGGTATATTCATATAGGTCCCTTACCACGGTCCCTCATCCCCACCTCATGTTCTAGCCACTGCCACAGCAACCACTTCCCCAAGGGCTTCCACCAGGTTTGCTCAGGCTCAACCTGACATGGTCTCGCCTCTGGCTTGAGCCCCTTGCTTTCTGCCCCAGAGCTTCTCTGGTCCATGTGCAACCCAGAAGTGCAGGGGAATTAAACACCTATAGGGGGCCACCTCTGACCAAAGGAGCCAGCAGCTGAAGTTTACAGGCTTCTCTTTCTTCCCCTGCCTGAGTTCTGAGCCACCATTCATAGTCTCCTTCCTAAGATGATCCTGGAGGTGGTTGACTCAGTAGCACATCCTTGTATTGGCTCCTCCTCTTCTGTTCACGTCCCTTCCCCACTCCCGTTTCCTGGAATTACTTTCTAAATCAACTACCTAGGCACATATCTAGTGGGAGAGGAGTTAGACCATAAACAAATAAATAAAACACAATACTATGTTAGTAATGATGGGTGCTGTAAGGGAAAGTCAGAGCTAGGTAGGGGGTGGTAATGATGAGGTGCTATTTTGTTCACAGTGGTCAGCAAAAGTCTTGGAGGTGGGTGGCATTTGAGCAGA